GACCAGTAATGATGGGCTACGACGTGGTGCGTGACACAGACACTATTGATTATAAACATCAACACAGGTCCTGGCACCGTGGTCCTCCTGACCTACTGTAGATACTTCTCTACCTCCCTCAGAACAACTATACAGTCCTCTACTATCTACAGAGTATACAAGGTATATTGTAAGTAGGCAACTTGAATTTTGCACTTGGAAATTATATTTTCTAAAACGTAATTTTCAGCACTGTCGATCCTATCGCCATCCATCACTAGTCGGCGAGGTTGACAAGTTATGTTATTGGATGCAATGAACAGTATGATTGATAGTCCGTAGACACCAGACTGCAGCACCTGTTGTACGGTCCAGCACCACAGTCCAGGTGGTGCCACGCACCGCTACCCGCAGTATGGCTGCTGATTATCACCGGTATAGCACGGGCAGGGCAGTGCACGCTGTGGGGGTGGTTTGTCTAACAACATCACTGTAGTCTGTATGACGGAACCTGTCTTCGACACACCGTCTACCCGCAGTATGGCTGCTGATTATCACCGGTATAGCACGGGCAGGGCAGTGCACGCTGGAGGGTGGTTTGTCTAACAACATCACTATAGTCTGTGTGACAGGACCTGTCTTCTAACACTCCATCTACCAGCAGTATGGCTGCTGATTATCACCGGTATAGCACGGGCAGGGTAGTGCACGCTGGAGGGTGGTTTGTCTAACAACATCACTATAGTCTGTGTGACAGGACCTGTCTTCTAACACTCCATCTACCAGCAGTATGGCTGCTGATTATCACCGGTATAGCACGGGCAGGGCAGTGCACGCTGGAGGGTGGTTTGTCTAACAACATCACTATAGTCTGTGTGACAGGACCTGTCTTCTAACACTCCATCTACCCGCAGTATGGCTGCTGATTATCACCGGTATAGCACGGGCAGGGCAGTGCACGCTGGAGGGTGGTTTGTCTAACAACATCACTATAGTCTGTGTGACAGGACCTGTCTTCTAACACTCCATCTACCCGCAGTATGGCTGCTGATTATCACCGGTATAGCACGGGCAGGGCAGTGCACGCTGGAGGGTGGTTTGTCTAACAACATCACTATAGTCTGTGTGACAGGACCTGTCTTCTAACACTCCATCTACCAGCAGTATGGCTGCTGATTATCACCGGTATAGCACGGGCAGGGCAGTGCACGCTGTGGGGTGGTTTGTCTAACAACATCACTATAGTCTGTATGACAGAACCTGTCTTCTAACTCTCTGTCTACCCACAGTATGGCTGCTGATTATCACCGGTATAGCACGGGCAGGGTAGTGCACGCTGGAGGGTGGTTTGTCTAACAACATCACTATAGTCTGTGTGACAGGACCTGTCTTCTAACACTCCATCTACCAGCAGTATGGCTGCTGATTATCACCGGTATAGCACGGGCAGGGTAGTGCACGCTGGAGGGTGGTTTGTCTAACAACATCACTATAGTCTGTGTGACAGGACCTGTCTTCTAACACTCCATCTACCAGCAGTATGGCTGCTGATTATCACCGGTATAGCACGGGCAGGGTAGTGCACGCTGTAGGGTGGTTTGTCTAACAACATCACTATAGTCTGTGTGACAGGACCTGTCTTCTAACACTCCATCTACCAGCAGTATGGCTGCTGATTATCACCGGTATAGCACGGGCAGGGCAGTGCACGCTGTGGGGTGGTTTGTCTAACAACATCACTATAGTCTGTATGACAGAACCTGTCTTCTAACTCTCTGTCTACCCACAGTATGGCTGCTGATTATCACCGGTATAGCACGGGCAGGGTAGTGCACGCTGGAGGGTGGTTTGTCTAACAACATCACTATAGTCTGTGTGACAGGACCTGTCTTCTAACACTCCATCTACCAGCAGTATGGCTGCTGATTATCACCGGTATAGCACGGGCAGGGTAGTGCACGCTGTAGGGTGGTTTGTCTAACAACATCACTATAGTCTGTGTGACAGGACCTGTCTTCTAACACTCCATCTACCAGCAGTATGGCTGCTGATTATCACCGGTATAGCACGGGCAGGGTAGTGCACGCTGGAGGGTGGTTTGTCTAACAACATCACTATAGTCTGTGTGACAGGACCTGTCTTCTACCCTCCGTCTACCCGCAGTATGGCTGCTGATTATCACCGGTATAGCACGGGCAGGGCAGTGCACGCTGTGGGGTGGTTTGTCTAACAACATCTCTATAGTCTGTGTGACGGAACCTGTCTTCTGACCCTCCGTCTACCCGCAGTATGGCTGCTGATCACCGGTATAGCACGGGCAGGGCAGTGCACGCTGTGGGGTGGTTTGTCTAACAACATCACTATAGTCTGTGTGACAGGACCTGTCTTCTACCCTCCGTCTACCCGCAGTATGGCTGCTGATTATCACCGGTATAGCACGGGCAGGGCAGTGCACGCTGTGGGGTGGTTTGTCTAACAACATCACTATAGTCTGTATGACAGAACCTGTCTTCTAACACTCCATCTACCAGCAGTATGGCTGCTGATTATCACCGGTATAGCACGGGCAGGGTAGTGCACGTTGTAGGGTGGTTTGTCTAACAACATCACTATAGTCTGTGTGACAGGACCTGTCTTCTAACACTCCATCTACCAGCAGTATGGCTGCTGATTATCACCGGTATAGCACGGGCAGGGCAGTGCACGCTGTGGGGTGGTTTGTCTAACAACATCACTATAGTCTGTGTGACAGAACCTGTCTTCTACCCTCCGTCTACCCGCAGTATGGCTGCTGATCACCGGTATAGCACGGGCAGGGTAGTGCACGCTGTGGGGTGGTTTGTCTAACAACATCACTATAGTCTGTGTGACAGGACCTGTCTTCTACCCTCCGTCTACCCGCAGTATGGCTGCTGATTATCACCGGTATAGCACGGGCAGGGCAGTGCACGCTGTGGGGTGGTTTGTCTAACAACATCACTATAGTCTGTGTGACAGAACCTGTCTTCTACCCTCCGTCTACCCGCAGTATGGCTGCTGATTATCACCGGTATAGCACGGGCAGGGCAGTGCACGCTGTGGGGTGGTTTGTCTAACAACATCACTATAGTCTGTGTGACAGAACCTGTCTTCTACCCTCCGTCTACCCGCAGTATGGCTGCTGATTATCACCGGTATAGCACGGGCAGGGCAGTGCACGCTGTGGGGTGGTTTGTCTAACAACATCACTATAGTCTGTGTGACAGAACCTGTCTTCTACCCTCCGTCTACCCGCAGTATGGCTGCTGATCACCGGTATAGCACGGGCAGGGTAGTGCACGCTGTGGGGTGGTTTGTCTAACATCACTATAGTCTGTGTGACAGAACCTGTCTTCTACCCTCCGTCTACCCGCGGTATGGCTGCTGATTATCACCGGTATAGCACGGGCAGGGTAGTGCACGCTGTGGGGTGGTTTGTCTAACATCACTATAGTCTGTGTGACAGAACCTGTCTTCTACCCTCCGTCTACCCGCAGTATGGCTGCTGATCACCGGTATAGCACGGGCAGGGTAGTGCACGCTGTGGGGTGGTTTGTCTAACAACATCACTATAGTCTGTGTGACAGAACCTGTCTTCTACCCTCCGTCTACCCGCAGTATGGCTGCTGATTATCACCGGTATAGCACGGGCAGGGTAGTGCACGCTGTGGGGTGGTTTGTCTAACATCACTATAGTCTGTGTGACAGAACCTGTCTTCTACCCTCCGTCTACCCGCAGTATGGCTGCTGATTATCACCGGTATAGCACGGGCAGGGTAGTGCACGCTGTGGGGTGGTTTGTCTAACATCACTATAGTCTGTGTGACAGAACCTGTCTTCTACCCTCCGTCTACCCGCAGTATGGCTGCTGATCACCGGTATAGCACGGGCAGGGCAGTGCACGCTGTGGGGTGGTTTGTCTAACAACATCACTATAGTCTGTGTGACAGAACCTGTCTTCTACTCTCCGTCTACCCGCAGTATGGCTGCTGATTATCACCGGTAGGCGGTAGTTCAGAATACAGGTTCCGTCATACAGAATATAACAATTACACGAGTATAGCGCACGGAATTCGTGTAGAAAAATAACTAAAATGGGTATACAAATTCCTGTACGTCAAGATCTTAGGTCATGGAGCTGAAAGAGAAATAAGAATTCTCATATTATGACTCAATTAACTTCCGTCCAATGTGTACTGTATGATAATGATATTTAGTGTCTAAGTTAATATGACTTTGGTCATACTTCATTTAAAAATACACTAGTAGTCAAGTCAATGACTATTTTTATATAAATTCATCATATACAGCACCGATTTTCATGCAAATTTGGACCTAGTCTACCCTGTGCCAACGGCTGTTTCTCCCCTGCGGGTGGATGTTACCCCTTCTTGAGGCTCAGCAAATTTTCATCAAAAATAAGTAAGAAATTCGATACATTTTTCGAAATTGATAAAGTTAATAATTTGTTTACCAAGAAGGCGTGGGCATTTACCCCTGGGGGAAAATCAACCTCCAGCACAGGATAGGTTATGAAATAGAGGCTAAGTAGAACCTAAATACACATTTTCGTACAAATCGTTGCTGTTTGGGATGAATTAACAGTTTACACTCTTTTTACCCTCATTGACTCGACCGAGACCAACTGTTGAAACACTACCGTAAAGTTGATTTTTCTTTTCCATGTTAAAGATGTCGTTAAAAAACTTATAGTATCGTATCATTTTACTATAGAATAAAAAGTTACAAGATTTAATTGGAAATAAGCAACAAAATATGAAAGGAGACATAAACACTCTGAAAGGCTGACTCAAAGTCGTCCTCGATAAGAAAATAAATATCTACAGCTAGTAGATACATAAGGCCTACTTCACCATCCCATGTTATAATAGTCTCTAGGAAAGTCTTTATTATTGAAGAGTGGCATGAATAAGAGAATAAGAGTAAAGACATCTCATTAGTAGACTTTCAAACAAGACATATCGGTAAGTATTTCAACACAATTCGTCTGGAATATCAATCTATTGGAATTTTCCATTAAACATTCGATTACTTACGGAAAGCATGCTCGCGGGTTTCACATCGATATATCCAATCTGTAACAGAAAAAAGATCATTACATATAAACCAATGTGATAATTTAGAAATACAGTTTTAATGACTGGGTCCAGCCCAAAGCAAATGGGAAATAAGCCATACATCCGAAATCGCCGTTTTAAATCTTGAATCGTACCACATTTGGGTTTGAACCACTTTAGAGAAAAAAAAATGTGCATCTCCATATGATTATGTACTACAGTACTGTCTAGAGTGTATTCTTTAGAAACGCAGCAACTGGGGGGGGCGAGCTTTGCTCTTATCAATAGGGAAAACTGTATTTAACACTATTAATGACACATTTATAAATTAGCCCTACCACACACTCACAAAACCGACCTAATTGCAGCCGTAGTGACTCCGACTCCGAGTGACTCATCTAAGGTATAAAAATTGTAAAAAATCAAATATCTGATTGAAAAAATAACCACAGAGCACATTAACGCATCCGGTCCCGTCAACCTAAGTCGAATATTACCGTTAACAAGGTGCGCCAGCGTAAAAATTGCCTGGTCACCAACATTTATTACCTGGACATTATTCGGAACAGGTTAGCTCAGCGTTGATTTCATACAATTAAACGGGCTACCTTTTCGCCGTCAATCTGGCCCAATTCTTACTGGCGACGAAGTGTTCCGGTGACAAAGTAATCCGTTTTCCCTTCAACTTAACGCATTGATCACTCGTTAGCTTAGACAATAAGCAAAAGGTACCGGTAGATTTGCTTGAAAGTCAAAAGTCGTATTATACTTTTACGTTGTTTTTATCATACGTGAATTTTTAAATGCTTTATTTTAATTATAAGTTATCAGACAACCACCTTTTTATAAAATTTAGTATTCAAATATGAAATCTGCAGCTAAAATATACCTAAAAGACACAAGTAAAATCATACAGGCTCAAATTCAGCCTATGTTTATACAGTGGAATTACGTTTGCCTACAAGAAACGTACACATGAGACGAGTGAGTCCCGGAACACTTCATATAACATTTACATTCCTCCACCACCGCCAACTAGATCTAGTCGCCGCTGCCCCCAGTGTTGATTTGGCCACTCCAGTCACGTAGAGGCCCCGGGGGCCCGTCATTACTCGGGCCCCATTTATAACCCACTACCTGATTACCCCCGAACCTTCGAGGCCGATTTATGTATACGGGCCTGGGAGTTTAACACCGTAAATAACGGGTTTTTTAAGTTTTAAGGCTGCGTGTTTTGGAAATAAAATAACAAAAATTAAGTCAACAAACGAATAGGGGGTGAGACTTTCTGTTCAGGGACCTTTATACTAAGGACATTACGCACTAGCCTGGACCCTTATTGCAACTAACAGGTTAGGATTGGAGGGTTAACATAGCTAAGTGCCATTGGTGTTTGGGGGGATTTGAACCCAGCACCTTAAGGACCGAAGCCTAGCACTCTACCAGCTGATTTACCTCACCAATAATTATGTGATAGCACGGTAACAAGGTGGTTTAAGCGCATCATTAATAGCTTCCCCTACATAGGAAACAAAACAAAATAAATTTCTCAGATAAGATTTCTTCGATTTTAGAAAAACATTTAAAAATATTTTTAATGTCAATAACTTTTTTTATGTCCTTTGAAGTGTTAAAACGACACAGTGTTGGAAAAGTGGCAAGTTTCATACCCTGAAATTAAAATATTCAGTTTCATACGTTAAATTTGTTACGATAATTTTTCAAATTATTACAATAATAGTAATCCATGTATTATTGACATTTCTGCTAGTATATCGAGTAATTTTTTTAATTTTTAACAACAAATCTCAAAAGTCTTGCACTAAAATGCTAACTCATCTCTGTAAAAAGTTAATTACTAAACAAATGCACGCTAATGCCTATAATCAGGTACAGTGAATCCGTGTTATCAAGATGGTCAACTTTGGTATTTTAATTTGTATCCTTTGCCAGTAATCAGAAGATGACGGCTAAAGTAAAACACACTTCATCTTAGGGTCGGCCGATTACTGCAGCCATCTGACCAATGAACACACTGTAATTATCTTCAGACATTCCTTGCATTCCAACGTAAGGAAGCCCCTGATTTAATTTATACAGGTATAAAAGAATTTTTTTTTTTCTCGTAGTATATGATATTTTATAAAGTTGTATTTTATTATATTATCTATATAGTTTGTCTTCTTCAATCAAATTATTTCTTTTATTTGCAATTATTTATTTTAATATTTTTATATGATTAAATTTGTTATACATTTTTTCCCATTTTAGGTAATTGAAAATTGTATTTTCTCATATTTGTCATACTACGTCAACGATAATTGATATATTTTATCAAATGTTTGTTTATTATTTTGTACAAGGGGTTTGTACGGATAAAGAATGCATATGTTTACAAGCAATTAATGGCAAAATGTATTAAAATATTTTTTTTAAATGCAGGATGATTTTATAATTGTAAATAGAAGATTAATAAGAAAAAACTGAAATTGTGGAACACTGGGATACACGATGATTAAAATCAAAGTTTGACGATTTTTCGACGACATGGACAATAATTGAAGGAAATCTGGTTAGTCTTCATTGATGGGGAATTAGAAAAAAAAAATATGAAGCACTTATGTAAAGTTAAATAATTTAAAAAAAGGTTTGAAAGATAAAGAATCTTTGATCGTGTAAGCATATGTTGTTCAAAGGTTTATTGCGGACATTTTCCATCACGAATGTCCGCAATAAACCTTTGAACAACATTAACTCACCATCACCAACAACGAACTTCAAACAAAGAAGTGTATGCATAGTCAGTAAATATAGGAAAAAAATACATTAGGATTAAGATTTACTATTTTCTCTTATTGTGGTCCAATGCGTAGGAAAGTCAAAAAAATAAGTTATTGGTTGAAAAACATGCCTCCGTAAATGAATCAATATTATTTTGTAGCTTTGTAGTTGATAGGATACATTAAACACATGTGGAATCGCTGACGTTCATGACCTTTCTGACGTTGTTGATTAAGCTTAAGTACTACAATAACTAGACTATTAAAAAGTTAGTGTGTAGCATTTCTTACAAACCAAACTACAAAGAAATACAATGAAATATACAGATGAGTTTCACCGGTAACATAAAAAAGGGGTTGAAGATCGAAAGATTGACTTTAAATTGGTGTAGGGTACAATTTTTCACCTTTAACACAAGATATCCACTAAATTTTGTCTCACAACAAAATTGTAAACGGCCGTACTACTTGGATAACACCCAGCCGTGATACGATTAGCATATGTTCTGGAGTCCACCGCTGGGAGCGCCGTGTAGTTACATAGCTCGTACACAGTAACTACACGGCACTCCCAGCAGTGGACGCCATAACCTATGCTGACCGCAGCACGGCTGACGGTCTATATATAATTCTTTTTGTCTATGATAACACTCATGTATATCAATGAAATAAAAAAATACAATTTGAGATCAAATGATGATCACGATGAGCACAAAAGGGCGCCGAGTACAAGAAGGTCGTTACACCCTTAGCGCACCTTCTTACAGTCATTTAAACAATAAAAAATCACAGATGACGCTCGAAGGAGGGTGTTGACCCTACAGGAAGGACAGGAATAGCGGAGGAGGCAGGCAGCTGCATGTAGGGGTGGAACGCGACATCTGCCGGGGCGAAATCTGGCGACAACCCTTGCTGACCAACCCTGGAGCTAGGACAACCCGACAACCACCAGAGATTGGGATAAAACTTCAGAAATATTAAAATTCTGCACTTTTAGGAGTCAAACCTTGAGCTAGGACAACCAGTGCTGGGGGTTAAATGTTGCAAATATGGAAAGTCTGCAATTTTAGACGTCAATCCTTTCTGACCAACTCTAAAGTTAAGACAACCACCTAGAATTGGAGTTGAACTTCAGAAATATGGAAATTCTGAAATTTTAGGGACCAACGATTGCTGGCCATATCTAAAGTTAAGACAACCATCTAGGATTGGGGTAGAACTTCAGAAATATGGAAATTCTGAAATTTTAGGAAGCATTGCTTGCTGACCAACTCTAATGTTAAGATAACCACCTAGGATTGGGGTATAACCTAAGAAATGTGGAAATTCTGAAATTTTAGGGACCAACGCTTGCGGACCAACACTAAAGTTAAGACAGCCGCCTAGGATTGGGGTAGAACTTCAGAAATATGGAAATTCTGAAATTTTAGGGACCAACACTTGCGGACCTACTCTGGAGGTAGGAGCAAAACTACTACGATTAGCGATAAATTTCCCATATATGGAAATACTGAAATTCAGGCGCCACCTTTGCTAACCAACCCGAGAGCTGTATCCAAATTGATAAGGGATTGTTGGATACATAAAAATATTTAAAATGTGCAAATCCTGTTGAATTGTCCCTTGCTAACTTTATCCTGTCCTAAAAAATCAACAACCCTCAAGAGTAAGTTGAGGACAATTTCAATTTCAACGAGTTCCACTATCAGCAGGTAGAAATGCCAGTTCTTTCCGAACACTTCTGGAGCTACGTCCAAAAATATCGGCGATAAAGGTTTCAACCCCCCCCCCCCAAAAAAAAAAAAAAAAAAAATTAAATGAAAAACTATTCATAATGAACGAATGCTAGCACCTAAGTATAAAGAACCAAAATGACCAACCAGTTTTAGTGTATTTATTCTGCTTTTCAGTCGTTCTCATAAAACTGCAAACCTTATTAAACTTATTGCAATCATAAATGAACATTTTAACCTAAACTGTTAGTTGCATTTTTATCACGAATGCGGCATAACCTTTTATAAAACAATTGGTTTCTCGATTAAAAGTCTTAGTTTAGTTACTACAAAACGTTCTAATAATTTAACTTAACTATCAAAAAAACATAACTATCTCTAAAACATCCTTACAAAATTCAAACTGCGTGAAGTAAATCGAGTGGATGCATTAATTAAGTTAAGTTAAACCGTAGTTAAGTTTAATGATTACAACCATTAACTGGCACAGCTTACGATATAAATA